TTTTATAAATGGCCAAATGTCTTAAGTCTGCAAATACACAGGAAGAAAATTCTGGAGTTCACCAACATTTGATACGGTGTGCGGGCTGGGAATTGAGAATAATGAAAGAGAGACCACGCTGAGAAGCAGTAGTCAGTACAATAAGAAAAGAAAGTGGAAAAAATGGTACCCTGCAAGCCAATGCAGAGAGTAGAACAGTTGCACTACCACTTTACCACGATGAAAAGAGCAGAAGAGATTACGGTTTTGAAATACAATGTCAATGGATATTTACCTCGATTTGAAAATTACCTGTATGTACAATAGAAAATCAAACTAAAGATCTTTTGCTCAAGATCAGTGAATATTATATCTTAGTATTTATTTCTGTATCTATACTTTAACAGAGCCTATGATATAAGGAAATTCTGGGGTTTCCTAATTTTTTTTTTTTTTTTTGAGACAGTTTCTTGCTCTGTCTCCTGGGGTAGAGTGCAGTGGCATCACCATAGCTCACTGTAACCTCAAACTCCTGTGCTCAAGTGATCCTACTGTCTCAGCTTCCCAAGTAGCTGGGACTACAGGTGCAAGCCACCATGCCCGGCTAATTTTTTTCTATTTTTTGTGCAGATGGGGTCTCACTTTCGTTCAGGCTGATCTCGAACTCCTAGCCTCAAGTGATCCTCCTGCCTCAGTCTCCCAAACTGCCAGTATTACAGGCATGAGCCACTGTGCCTGGCCAGTTATTTCAATTATTAAGAAAAACTCAAGGAATTTCATTTGTTTCTAAACAGCTTATTTAATTAAAAGAGAAAAAATTCACTTTTGATAGTATTCTAAAAATGTCAAAGAACTGTCAAGAGATAAATTCGGAAAGTTCTGTTCTCTTACCTACTACCCATTATCCTAATTTTCTCTATGTATTCTGTTACATTATGTATTCTGTTACATTATACATATGTATAATTCAAATACTAGTTTAAGATCTCTTCTCTTTGTCACATCCATATAGTCCATGACAGCACTGTCTCTTTTTCATCTATTTAGCATTAAAATTTAATAGCATGATGACCTACCATGGTTATTGCTATAATATTAATCACCATGAAATATATTTTATTGGTATAAAATGATTTATGAAAACAAATTTAGGCTATGAGCTTAAATGTAGACATTTTTATGCCTATTACTATTACATTTATAATATTAATGCTCTGAAATCATTTTAGACACACACATAAATGTACATAAAGGCATATACACTTAGATAAAAAATTGGCAGTAAACTAAAAACTGAATCCAGAGGAAAAAAATGTCTAATATTATCAAAAATTAATGAGATTTGAACTAGGCATGCAATAAATAATAATTAACATATCTCCATTGTAAATCAACTAAGTAATAAAACTCTGAAATAAAATTTGGGTTATAAACTTTCTGTGATTCTTTACATTAAAACAAACTTCCTGGAAATTAATAATATGTGGTATTTAAACATGTATCAATCTTATACTGAGCAAGATTAGCAAATAATAGTTTATTTCAAAGTAGATTTTGTGGATTTTAATCCATTCTGTTATGTTGATATTACAAATATACACTGTTTGCACTGTCACTTTATAGAATAAGAACACCCAAACTTACATCATTCAAATAAGATTCCTTTACGTACAATCCAAGAAAACAGAAAGCTTAATGTACTAAACTTTTAAAAACGTTGATTTAGGAGAGTCACTATTAAGAATACTTAAAATCCAACTACCATTCAAGTAAACACTATGCTCTAGAGAAATGCAGTAAGTATAAAATACACACTGAATTTTAAATACTATGAAAAAAGGATGTAAAATGTCACATTAATAATGTTTATATTGATCACATGATAAAATGTTAATATTGTAAATATTGGGTTAAATAAAATACACATTAAAATTAATTTCGCCTGTTTCTTTGTATGTATTTAAGTGTGGCCACTAGAAAATTTAAAATTATATATATGGCTCTCATTTGTGCTTCACATTATATTTCTATTGCACAGTGTTCATCTAGAGGCTATTAAATAAAATGCTGTATGTTGAGCATAGAAAAAGAATGGAAGAAAAAAATGACATAGTAGGGTCTGAAAAAGTATTTCATTAATGAAAGATAGAAAAAAAACTGTGGAGAAAGAAATGAAAAAGAACAGTAAGACAAACCAGTATATAAGCTACAATAAATTAATGAGTGGGAAAAATACAACATAGTAGAAAACAGCAAGGCATATTGTAATATATACTATAACACAATTCATTTCCCATCGGCTTCTACAAAATTTTAATAAGAACTTAAGATAAAATAAAACTGATTCTGAAAATAAATATAGCTGCTGGGCGTGTTGGCTCACAACTGTAATTCTAGCACTTTGGGAGGCCAAGGTGGGAGCATCATTGAGGCCAGGAGTTGAAAATCAGCCTGAGGAACAAAGTAAGACCCTGTCTCTACCAAAGATAAGAAAAATTAGCCAGGTGTGGTGGTGCATGCCTGTAGTCTGAGCTACTTGGGAAGGTGAGGCAGGAGGATTGCTTGAGCCCATTAGGAACATGTCAGATTGTGTGTTTCATACTCTTAAAACAAAAATAAACTCAAATTAAGTAATATTTATGTATAATTCAAATAATGCTAAAAATCACGAAGTGAGTACAACACCTATACTGAATGACTTTTGATGAAATTATAAAGGGGTGACAGCTACATATTTAGTCAATTATTTAAAAAAAAGGTTTTTTGAGTAAATATAATTGATTCAATCATGTACTTTTGAAGGACTGCTTTTAACATTTTAAAGTTCATTATATTATAGTGAGCTAGTTGGTTGATAACTTTAAGGATAAAAGGAGCAGTCAGATGGGGGAGGAGCCAAGATGGCGGACGAGAAAAGCCGCCAGTCAGAATGTCTCTGCAAAAAAGATGAATTTTAGAAGAAAGAGAAAAAAATAAGCTTTCACCTGAGTGGAGCCATTTCAGCCCCTCCTGGCAACTCTGCACAGAAACAAAGAGCAGACCTTTGACCCCTGCTAACAGCAGTTGTGGAGCCTGAGGGCAGGCTACCCAACCCAGCTTCAGCCCCACTCAGACTCACTCCTGGTCCTGCCCCTACTGAGGTGGAGAATAAGGACACACCTGGAAAGTCCAGGGCCCCACCCACCACCCGAGGCACAAGA